AAAATGGCTTCAGTTAGGCACATGTCTAATTTTGTGGCGTCCGTCATGTTAGGCATGTCACTTGCCAAAGTCTCTGTATCCATGAGGGCAGTGAACAGTGACCAGAGGGCTTCTTGACGGACCATTTGGCTTTGCTCCTGCGGGTGGGGACAGAGTGTCTACAGAGTTAGATTTCGATGGCTTTGTGGTCAGCAACGAACATGACATCTCCAGTACACCTTCCTCATGCAAGCTCATCTGGCCGTTCCAGTGTGCTGATGATGGGACAATTCTCATCCGAGCCATGCCAGCATTATAATAGAAATTCCAAAGAGAAGCATTTCCAATGTCGATGCCTCACCTCTTTCACAACCTTTTATGGAGACGACACATACTTTACACGTTTAGTTTTACGGCGCTCGTAACTGCATAAGGTGATATGAGCGCCAAGGGGTGGATGTCAACAGAGAGGTCCTTATAGGGAATCGGACTTACTCTGCTCACCTCTCTTGCTTCAACAGCACAAAGTCTGCTTCGACTATCAAGGCACCCCGGAAATAGTGGGTCACAAGAGTGTGACAAACATACAAAAGAAGTAGAGGAAAAATGACAATAGTAAGGATTAGGAAAGAAAAAGCAGCAGTTCCCTGTTGTAGATCAGGCACAGTTATGAGCGTGACGATGAATCAGCCCATTTACAATTCTACTGTGCATGAACGAGAAATGTCCCCCTTTTGGGAATGGCCTAAAGACACTTCAGTCGGTGGCATCGCCCCGGAGGGTGACACTTTACACAGAGATCTCAATATCAAATATTTGTATGTGACAGTCAGGCCAGAGAGACACATAGTCACACAAAAAACACACACACACACGCACACGCGCAGGAGCGCGCACACTGAAATACACATACACTCACACACATACACACACAGACACTGCTCTCATCTTTATTTCTGCTTTGTACAACTAATTCGAGATTTTGTTCCATGTGTATGTGACAGACACACACACAAGAGAATACCAACACAACCACACATACACACACCCACAAACACACACAAAGACTGCTCTCAATCTTACTTCTGTCTTGTCATGTATCAATGGAGATTTATTTTGTTCCATTCATCTCTCAGTGTCATTTCTTTTGTTGGTTCTGTACGGACTTTTTTTTCCATTACACAAATTCCTTGTTTACCTTTCGCATCTTGTTTATCTGTATTGATATGTGTGTGTGTGTTTATGTGTGTGTGTGTGTGTGTGTGTGTGTGTGTGTGTGTGTGTGTGTGTGTGTGTGTGTGTGTGTGTGTGTGTGTGTGTGTGTGTGTGGCGTGCACGAGTGTGGTTAACTCTCTCTCTCTCTCTGTCTCTCTCTGTCTCTCTCTGTCTCTCTGTCTCTCTCTCTCTCTCTCTCTCTCTCTCTCTCTCTCTCTCTCTCTCTCTCTCTCTCTCTCTCTCACTCACTGTGTATTTTTGTGTGCATGGTTGTGTGCATGTGTGCCTGTGCCTGTGCATGTCCCTGCATTTGTGTGTATGTGATCTGAGTGTCTATCTGTGAGAGAGAAACGCAGAGAGAGAGAGAGAGAGAGAGAGAGAGAGAGAGAGAGACAGAGAGACAGAGAGAGAGAAAGAGAGAGAGAGAGAGAAAGAGAGTGGAGGAGTCAGATAAATTGCTCTCAAGCAAACAAACGAAAAAAAGAAGAACTTACCTCAATGCCAACAGCAAACGCTCAACAGCTGAAATTGGTTGTCTGAAATTTGTGTACTTATTCTCAAAATCTGCAGCACACAAATCTAACAAAGCTTTGTACTTATCAGGCGTCATTCGCACATAATCCACAAATTTCTCTTTGTGTTTGAGCAAGTCAGGTTTCAAGTGGTAGTATGCTCCATGTTGTCTTCTTGATCTGTTTATAGAAAGCACCCCAAATCTCCGACAACGCTGTATTCTCCGTCTTCTTCTCCACAGCCACCACACAAAAAGTTTCTCATGCCTGCTCAGTCGGACGGAGTCGCGCTGACCTATGGGCACTTCTGAACTAGCTGCTCATACGTTTCGCGGCGCACTTCAGTTGTGTGTGGCAGTACATGTATATTTTCAGCCTTACTCTACCCCCTCAGGGGTCTGTCAGAAACAAAGAGCTGTGATGGAATTTGTCGTTTTAGAAGGAGAAACGACCAGTAACATCCAAAAGAGACTTCAAATTTTTTACAAGGACTCAGCTTTAGATTTCGCCACTATATATAGGTGGGTCAGACTTTTGAGCAATGGCCTACAAGAAAATGAAGAGGTGTCCACACGTTTGTCAGACAAGCAACGTCCAAAAAATTCTGCTTGAAAAAATCATGGGAACCATATCTCACAAATTCTTTACCACTAGAAGCAACAGTCAATCATGAATTGATTGACTGAGTAGGTGTTTTACGGCACTACCGACTAAATTTCAATTAAGAAGCCTACACTGAAACACTGAAATGACAGAAAGCAAGAATGCGATCAGTCAGACCAACAGACCAAATCTGAACATGGAAAGTAGGCCAGGGCAAGATCGACTCTGGGATCGATTCTTTCGAGTCCAAATGAGGACTCAAAGAATCGATCTTGTTCCCAGACTCTAAGC